TCCTCTTTTTTTCTGCTCCTTTGCTCCAACCCTCTCTACGAATCAATCTCTGCTACCCAAACTTGTACAAAGCTCTCCTCAACATTTACTCCTGTTAGCTCCCACTCCTCTGCATTTCACTCCACATTACTCCACCTCCCTTCTTCACTCCCTTGCATTCTTCATGCAATCTAAATTTCTCTCTTGTCCTTATCCTTCTCATTTATTGTCTTCTTGTTCCTCTTCTTCTCTCCTCTCATATTTACTTCTCTACCTCCTCCTCCTCCTCCTCCTTTCCCTTGCGGTCCACTACTCCTCCCTCATTCAGGCTGACATATCAGCCAGAGTGACGGGTGTCAGTCCTAATACCAGTCGATGCTCTGTTAGGATATGCGTACTCTTCAGTACTTCACTCCTACATACACACAGTCAACCTGAGCAGAAGAGGGAAGGGGAGATTTGCAAATGTCATTTTAGCAGATTACTAGATCATCAGGGCATCGCGGTGAATTAAGCGGCGGCTAATTGTGGTGGTTACTTTATTTATTTATTTTAATTGCTGTTCCTTGTCACCTCAGATTATGCTTCCCATGCCATAAGGATATCAGATCTGTCAGGTACTGGAGGGCTTTGCGATGAGGCCTCGCACACACATGCATGCACGCACACACACACACACACACACACGCACACACTTGTTTGAACCTCCGCTCTTCCCTTAAACAAGGCTTATCATGCCATTTTTAATTATCTTCTTTTGGGAGTGCAGCAGTTTTTTTAACCACCCAATTAAGAGCAACAGAGTCACTGAACCTTTTTATAGTCACTTTAATGGCATGATCCGTACAGTATGGCATTAATGGCCATGGTTGGGGGTTTACTTCATCCTGCGGCCGGTCATGCGAGCAATGCCCATCATTGGTGTTAAAATCCACCAAGAATGAGAACATGTTCAGTTGCTTTGTATATTGAACAACAGTCACAGACTTTGCAGCCTGTTCTTTCTCTGTCTTAAATTTGTTTTGTTTTTTTTCTTGTTAAATTTTTAACTCTGGATTAAGAGCACAAGACTATAATGTAATTTCATCACATCTGGTGTACTGATAAAAACCTGAAACCTTCAGGGGCCCTGGATGCCGAAGGCATGCTTTGCATTTTCTTGAGGTAATTTGATTAACTGCAAATTTGTTTTGGAAACTCCACCACTAGCCTAAATGACAGATCCTCAATTTTGTTTTTGTTGACTGACTTCTTAGTGGGATGTGTCTTATGCTACTGTTGATCTCAAGGTGACCTTAAAGAAGGGCCCTGTGCGGATTTGAAACACCAGTGTACAAAAGCTACATTACGGGAGGAGGTGTTAGTAGGGACCAAATTGTTTCCCTGGAAACAGCAACTGAAGTAGTTGGAAAATAGTAAAAAAGTCTTTCAATATGCACTATAGATACAAGCGTGTCCAAGCCTTCCTGTATGAGGTTGGGGTGATGGAGCAGTGGATAAGACACATTCCTTTGGTGAGGGAGATTGGGGTTCAAGTCCCACAGTGACACATCCACCAATTTGGCCCTGAGCAGGACACTAAACCCTTAGTTGCTCCAGAGGTAGGCGACCTCTGACACATATAGCAATTGTAAGTCACTAAAAAAGAACAATTATTATTACTTTGAATTTTTTTTTAGGACCTGCTTGTGAGTTGTAGTGCATTTTTCCAAACCTTTACATGCTGTAAATTCCAGTTCTGACTTAACCCACAACCCCCCATCTGAGACTATTTTTGTTTTTAGATGATTCAGAAAGGAATTACACAACTGTTTGAGGGCGTAACAGTGGAGAGCTTGAAACTAATGATCAAAGACAATCTCATTCAGTCCCTCGCTGTACTAAGTTATAGCAAGTGGAATAAACAATTTAGGGGTTTGTAGTACATCTAAAAGTGCAAACTCAAAGGCAACTGGACGCTTTAGATTCTTGTTTTGGATGAGAGGTCAAATATTTTCAACAATCTAAAGCAAATCCAGTTGGCATTTCCAGACACATCTTAAGAGACCTTTTCCGAGGATCCCCTGGTGCCCTGGAGCCTACTTTGGTTTAAACCTGTGCTGATGCAAACCATCAAACATTGATGGTCCGGCTGGGTTGCTGTTGAAGAAGAGACTCAAGCCAATAGGGCCCACTCTCTCTCTCTCCCTGAGCATTCCTGCTCTGCCTCTGTTTATCCTCAAACATCCCCTCTTGTCAACAGATTAGGACTGAACCCCGCTGTCTCTTTCTTTCTTCGTCTCTCTCTGCCTCCATCTCTCTGTCTTTTGGCCTGTCTCTTTACATCTGCGCCTCTGCTCTATTCTTGTGATGGGAGATGGAAGAATAGGGTGGGGGTGGTGGGTGTGTGTGTGTGTGGGGGGGGGGAGAAAAGGGAGAAAAGAAAGTCTATATATGTGTGTGTGTGTGTGTGAGAAAGAGAGGGAGGAGAGAGATGGGACAGGTGCTGGCAGTGCAAGAATTGCTTTGCTTGCTTTGCTTGCATGATCAGGCTGTGAAAATGTTCAGCTCAAGCAAAAGTGCTGTTCAAGAATCGACTCTGAGAAACAGGCTTCCTCGCCTGTGGCCAGACCAGCGCTGGCAAGCACAGTGTCGGGATCACAGCGGCAACACGCTACATCGGAGCCACACGCTTACACATATACAGGGCCCAATTGTAATTACAGAGGCCTGCAGACGCGCGGTCAACCCACAGTGATGTTGTTGGCCTGTGTTAGGAAGCCAGGCACACCAGCGGACTGAACAGCAAATCAGGCTGCTCAAAGAGAGGCAGTCAGAGCTGTCAGCAGAGGAGAGCAGGCAGCAGACACCTGGAAGACTCCAAACAGGCTAAACACACATTAGGCTACAGCAGCTGCATGTAGGGGACGGATTCGCTCTGATCACATTTACAGGCTTACACCGGCTCAGCTGGAGACACTGATCTGCTGCTCTGCTCTGATCTCTGCTATTCTGTTTCTGCTCTGTTCTCCACTGCTTCTGCGCTGTTTCTGATCTTCTCTGTTGGTTCTGTTGGTGTGTTCTGTCTGTTTCGCTGGTTGTCCCGTTGTGTTCTGTTGATCTGTGATCTGCTCAGGATTCTGTTCCGTTCAGTTCTTTTCTCTATTCTGATTTTATGTTTCTGTTCTTTTTAGGTTTCTGTTGTGTTTCTGTCCTGTTCTACCCTGTTGTCTTTTGTTCTGATCTGTTCTGATTTGTTCTTTTTCTGTGCAATTGGTTATTTTCTTCTCTGTTCTGTTCGGGCCCGTCCCATTTTGCCTTGCTCTGTTCTGCTCTGTCTGCTCTTTTCTGTCTTGTTCTTTCCTCCTTCTACTTTGCTCTTTGTTTGATTCTCTATGGCTATAATAATTCCAATTTGCCTTGTCTTATCTTCCATCCAGCTACAACCAATTCTCTCTAATTAATCTGAGATCCTTAATATTGATTAATTGAATTGATCATAATGTCAACCGATCTAAAGACAAATGCAACCATCCTTCGATCCAAGATGCTCAGACTTTTTGCTGATTGCTCTTCACCATGTGTACTGCTCTATTCTACTTTATTGTAGCCTATAAAGCAATAATAATGTTCTATTCTACTCGGGTGGTAAGCTCTGTTCCAGCCTGGGAGCTCCTCTGACTGTCTGTCTCAGCAGATCACCGTCTGTGGTTCATCACACAGCGGCACCAGGGACCCAGGTGTTTAAGCAGGTACACACACACACACACACACACACACACATACACACACACCACACACACACACACACACACACACACACACACACACAGTTGAACTGTTCACATCAGGCCACCTCAATTAATCACCTCTGTCTTTGGAGCCCTGACTGCCCTCAAACATAAATGCACATTCCTCTCAATCCTCTCTCGCACTGTGTGTGTGTGTGTGTGTGTGTGGAGAGAGAGAGAGGGTAATCTATCAAGGTGATCGATAAATAGGGACATTCATATTAGTAATGGGGCTCTCCTCCAGTCCAGTGAATATGTCTCCGTCTTTACGCTAAAATATGAATTTTTCTTGGCACCTGCACGTTTGCAGCGGGACCGCGCGCACTGGCACGAGCACGCGAGACACTACCTGCATGCTAAGAGGAGGACGCACTACTCTGTCTCTCTCTCTCTCTCACACACACACACACACATACACACACACACTTTCTGTCTTGAGGGACACTTGTGCTGGTCTTTACTCTCCACTCTTTCTCTTACACACACACACACACACACACACACACTAAAATTAAAGGAAAGCACGTGCCAATCGCGTGCGTGCCGTACATGTGTGTGCGCGCGCGTGTCTTGGAAATTGATCCAGTGTGACTCACGTTAAAGCCCGGTGACCAGACTGTGCATTTGATCCTCGCCTCATCAATCATCCCCTGGCTGTCAGGCTATGCGCAGAGTGTGTTCGTGTGCGCGCGCACTTGCGTGTGACTGCATGTGCGCGTGCTTCTAACACACTGCGTTTGTTTGAAATCTATTTATTCATGCGTTTCAAAGGTCACGTCAAAGTAACGTCAGTGCAGATGCTCCACAACTCTCTCATAAACGCGTAATTGAAGAAAAATGATCGCAAGGCGTCTGGACCGTTTGTGTCTGCATCCTACACTCTAAATCTCATTTTTTTCCCCCAGCAGAGCAAAGACCCTGAACACCCCACGACTCTTTTCTCTTTGGCGCTTGTGGGCTGTAATGATGATGTCCTGGGCAGCACAAATCTATAACAACATAACACATTTTCTTGCGCGGGCACGTACACACACGCACACGCACACACACACAAACACACACAGCCAGACATAAAGATGCACAAACACATGCACTGCCAGCACAGACAGCACAAAGCGCACAGACGCCCTCACACAACAGGGTAAAGAGGAAGGGTAAAAGGTGAAAAAATCCGGGCATTAAGAAGAAACTTTCCGCTGTCTCCTCTCGTGCCCTAGCCAGTTCAGCCTGAGTGTGTTAAACATCTCTCACCTTGGTTCAAAGTGATCGCCAAAGTTATGATCCACAGGGCTGGCATGGTTCAGCCGAGCGCGTTCAGATTCCTCCCCTCGGCTCTGCTTCCCTGAAAAGACACCATCAATTCCTCCCGACAGGGTGAATTTAACTGGAATCCTCTTTGAGTCATGAGAGTGAAAGAAGCCAAATTTGGGGGGGTGGGGGGGGGGGGGGGGGGGGCGAAATCGATTCCTCTTTTCCTTCTCCCCTTTCCTTTCTTCTACTCGTTTCCCTGTCTTTCCCGTGCGTAAAATAAATCTGTCTCCACTTTTTTCGCCTGCTCTCTTGGTTTATCAGTCTCTTGCGTCTCTTTTCCTCTCTGCGCTCTAGATTCCCATTTAAACAGGACTGAATACCCCCCCCCATACAATCAGTAGCACACACCCCCTCCCTCCTCCTCCACGCCTCCCCGCTCCAAATCTCCGTTTTGGACTCCACAGAGAGGAGGAGGGCGCTCCAGCGGCCGCAACGAGAACTGTGCTTTAAACACGAAAACTTAAATCATCAAGTGCTTCAAACTCACAACTGAGTGCACCTTAAACGCAGAATATTCTGCAGCAGGTTATGCTTGTAATATTTAATAAAACTCCTACAAATTGGCAATGTATAGATGTGCGTTTATCATATTACATAATTAAAGGACCAATAAGATGTTTTGAAGTAGATATTCCTCCATATATCGTAGAGGAGATCTAGCAGCAGCAGCTTTTGTGATTTTTTTAAATTTAAATATAACTGTAGGCCTATATATAGACCTGTTTTAAACAATCTGTGTTTACAAACACTAAAGATATTATTATTATGACATATTTTAAAGGCCCCAGAAACCTACTTTCTCAATCAACTTGGTGCTATGAGTAACATGAACACAGTATCTAAGTTCACAGATTTCTGATTTCTTTGTCCTTACTACTGGTTTTAAGTGGTAATGTTTCCATCACTTTAACATAGGAGGTGTGCCATATGAGCTAAATGAACAACTATAGTGACTTCATTATAGTATATGATTTTTAATTACACAGTGCCATAACGCTGTTGTTGCCCTTATTTATAAGTACGAACCTTACAGCAGTAAGAATCTCCCGCATCCAATAGTATGTTTAAAGTAACTTCTTTTTAGGGAAGCTTGGGGTCAGATATACCATTTTCCAAAAAAACACTTACATCAGCTACAGTACATGACTTTACAATCTCCAAACATAACAATCTGTCACACAGAATAAATTGGCTGAAATCAGTACAAAACTGTTATTCACTCAAATGAGGTCACCTTTGGCAATGCACACTTTTGTTGGCACCCACAGTAACATATTTTGTTCAGTTTTAACTAGATCAGATTGGTTTGGGGAAATTTGATAAAAGCTTTAAAACTGCAAACTTTTTTTTTTTTTTACACAGAATAAGTTCAGCAAAAACAAGTCCTTTATCCTCCAATAGCTGGACAGGGTTATGAATATCTATCTGTGTGAGGACTGTGACTACTACTGTCTAACTAGTAGCATGTGCAAAAGAAAGAAAGCATTGTTTAACAATATATTTGGGAAATAATGAGATTAAGATTAAGACATATGACATTGGATTCAGAGAGACAGTCAGTCATTGAGTGTCTTAATTTTATAACTAACTAAACATAGACTGTATAAAACAACCAACCAACCTTTTTTTAAACATAGGATTTTGAATTATTGCATTGTACTGCCCTCTGTTGGGCATCTTCTTTAACTGCATAGTACAAAAAAATTATGGCATATGGCATATGTTTTAGAACTGCTTAACTACAGTCTTTTACACATTCAGTGATTATTGAAATTGTGAGATTTTCTTAATCATATCCATTATTTCTTGAACATGTTATGTTCAAAACGTCTGTACACAGTAACTAGTAGAGGATATTTACCCTAAAAATCCAGATTTGTGACTAAATGTACTTCCCAAAAAGTATGACAGGGCCGTTGTAGATACAAAATAAAGAAATTACAGAACCAGGGATGGGGTTAATATTCAGAGAAAATCAAAGTGTTTGGCAGAAATGAAGGACCACAATAAAGCCACTTAAAAGCATTTCTTCAATCTTCTCTAATTCTTTATGCTTTTAGTCTTCGAACAGAAGGAAGTATCTCATAATACCTGTTGGTGAAAGTAGCTTATATGTGATGGCTTATTAACATCTGCCTATATAATATCCTGCTTTTAAGAGAGTACGGAGCTTTTAATAACACGAGCACATCTGAGAAACTGTAACTCATAAATGTATGACTTTAATCTCGGAAAGTCTGAGTCTGAATTCTAAGGAATAGTACATCCAAAACCATGGCTTCGTAACTATGTTTTTAACCTACAATTGCCCTAATGTAGGGCTGTCATCTAAAACAAATTCCAATAAGTCCAAAATACATTTGAAAAGTCATGATCAAGTAACCCATACTGTTCCTTTCTTATATCACACTAAGTGATTAATACAATATTAGAATTCTAAATGCTAAGACTGGGGAGATATGTGCATATATCATGTGATATATCATGTTTTTAAATTTGATTTTGGAACAGAACTTTTCAGTTGTTTGAGGATAATACACATTTCCCTGAAGCAAACTGAGGGAAGTTAGCGCAACAAGAAAATGACCAACGCAGACAGAAAACAGACTTCAATCTGGATGAACATTTTGGATTAGATTGGATTTTGGAAATTTCTGAACAAGAAGAACCAACGACAAGACAGGTGAAATTAACCCAAATGCATGTTTATTGAAGTCAACAACTGAACCGGTATTTTAACAAAAAAATTAAATAAAATAAACAAATACTGTATGAACATAACAGCCAACAGACGCAAAACCCACCACAGCATGCGGTTGGGTCTCGCCTCGATGACATCATCAGCCATTGTACAAATTAACATACATGACAGCACTATTCTCATGTGATATGGATATTTATCGAAAAGGAAGACTTGTCATCCAAAATTATAACCCTAAGAACATGGACATTGTTTTAGTCATTGAGATAATAAAGTTTTTATGAATGCAACACATGTAAGAGTGTCTCCGGAGTCTGTTTGAGTCAAATAATACACACCTCACACTCAGACACAAACACACATACACACACATATGTACAAGTACGCCATATTCACAGACATCATGCCTGCCGTGCATATCCAGATATGTGTGTGGATGTGTATGTATGCAAAGTGTGTGTGCAAAGTGTGTATAGGTGCGCTTGTAAGAGTATCCAGTAAAGGCAACACTATATACATGAAATTATATAAAAATGGTTGTTGAAACAATAAAGTATGCAAAAACGGAATTTCTAACCTTCAAGTTTTGGAAAATCTAATTTAAAAAAAAGAAAATGATTATCGATTGAACTGAAAGTAACACATTTAAGATTATGCACACCTTTTACAAAACATAATTTAAAAATCAATTTGTTTGTACTACAAAAAAGGAAAGAGATGACTGGCAGCTAGTGTGCGACTGCTTGAAGAGGAGTTGGTGAGAGTCAAGTGGTGCAGCAGGACAGCTCGGCCGGACTGAAGAGAGAAAAAGAAAAGCTGCGGTTTGCTGGCATCTGGTGACAGCTAGTCATTACTGCACTGATGCAATGAAATATGAATTAGACTGACTGCATGTCCCAATTCAGCGCCATTGTACCCCTACATGTTTTTAATGTAGCAGTATTTGGGAAGAGCCCTACTTCATCAGTTTTCTCAGTGTTATTCAGAGGACTGCAGTGTTCAGGAGGTATAGGCGGGTTTAACTGGGACACGGCCTATGTTTGCAGATCAGAGAACAGCAGCGGGGTCAGTAGGGCAGACCACCACTCTTGTCTCAGGAGAGAAGCTTGTCGGCACTACTCATCTCCAACACTATCTACATTTCAAACTGTTCCTCATGCAAGCTACATGCTAGCACATTAACCAAGACGAAGGACAGGACGATAAATTACAGGCAAATACAGGTCCATTGGTTTTTCAATAACACTACACTTTGTTGAGTGTGAGACAGGTATTCCTCTCTCCATACCACTGAGCAGAATTACTGGGGTTGAACAGAAATCAAAGGTTACTCATGACAGTAAACTCTGTGAGACAAAGCCCATCCTCTGGTCTGCAGACATGAATCCTGTGAAAAGCTGAAGAGTGCTGCGGAGCAAACATGAGATAAACAGCATTCTGAAATCTTCCAAATCTTCATCTTGGTTTGTTTAAAGCTGTCTGGTGAATGTCCAAACAGTCTGCAACAGAATTTAAACACCGTTTGAGCCAAGTTTTCTACAGTGTCAACTTATTAGCCTCCCCAATTCCAAAGAAGAGCTCTAAGAAGAAAAAAAAAAACAGAAAATAAACAGCTGACCCTGCTTCAGGTAGCCTCACCCTTTGTAGTATAGCTAGCTTATAGACACACTAGCCGGGCCACTTGGCTCCAAAGCAGCTAGCTAGGTAGCAGTTAACGACAATGCGGGATAGGTACGAAAAGCACAATCCCTGAACGTTCCCAAAAAGGCTGTACAAAAACTATCACAGACATAACTGTCTACAGGTAGGCTGACAACAGCAAATGGATTCCTCTCCAAAACACTTCCAAAGAGTGCTGCAGAGAGTCATCAGCGCACGCCTGCAAACCTAGAGGCGCTACTTCTACTGTATGTTTACATGGACGCATGAATGAGAGAGAGACCAGCAAGGAGAATCGCACATCGATCAGAGATGGAGGGGGGGAGACGAGGGGGAAGGAGTGATGAGGAGAGACCGGGTGAAGGTGGATCAGGACGCAGACAGCATGATTGATTAAAGAATGAAAAGAAATGGACGAGCGGAGCGGAGGGGGAAAAAAAGAGAAGAGGACATTTAAGTTCCTAAATGACTTTCTGTAGTGTTAGTGCAGCCCAGACTCCGGCTCGGCACCCTGCCCACCAAGCCAAACCTTGGCATATGAACAGCCTGGAGCCCAGAGCCTCTTAGTTAGATTGCAATCAATTTCCACGACCGGGCCAAGTGGAGCTTGCCAATGCCAAAGTGAACTCCCAACCTTGATAAAACACCGTTCATTTATGGGAACCTTTTGCTAAGCTGGCGAATGATTCCTGCTCACAATAACACACACACAGAAAAAAAAAAACAATAACAGAAAGTTGGGGGTTTTTTTGCCAGGAAGTTTGTCATTATGCATGTAGGCAGTCCTGTCTGGCCCTGTAGTGGAAAGCAAGCCAGCATATTCACCTCCCAGAGGAGCAACCGTGCCAGCTTCTTAGAGGAAGTCATGACATCACTACTCAATGAATTTAGCGCCAGGTGGTCTCGCCAAGACAAGCTGTCTGCTGCAGGGAGAAAGACGGTGGAGGGGCACGGTGGAAGGATGACCACAGCGGTCCATATGCACTGGGCAGTGATAGTCCAGGGAAACTCCCAACAAACACTACGACACCTTTCGAAGCTGTGTTCGAATCAAGGTTTTGCTACAGTTTAGTGTTTGGGAGCAGAGGGCCGACAAAGCTGGGGGGGGGGGATAAGTAAATCAACCAATAGCATCAAAACCATGATCCCCCAAAAAATCAAATTACAAGTCGGAAATTAGATTTATGGACTCCTGTACTGACAAATCGACAGACACTGTAAACACTGACAGTAACACACTGAGACACTGAGGAGAGAAAATCTCCCATACTGTAAGTCCCCGAAAAACCAAAAGGAATAAAAGAACAAGAACAAAGGAAGGAAACGTTCCTCATACAAATATTTGCAGTTAAGGTTAGTTTTACTCGCAACATCATCGTCGTTATTTTTATATTTTTTTACCCAGATAGTGATAGTTTCGACTCTGCATTTCCACGCATGTAATAAAAACAGGCAGGCGTTTTTTTAGAGTATATAAGTTACTGTAATGCAGTAACAGAGTGTACGAGAGAAAGAGAGAAAGAGAAGAGGGAGAGAAGAAGGAGAGATAGAAGGTAGAAAGAGGAGAGAGAGTGTATTTACAGCACACCAAACATTTTCTGTCAAGTAAAAAGAATGCTATATAATTCTATATATATATATATTTATATATGTATACTGGAGCCCCTTGGCTTGGTAGCCAAGGTGGGAATGCTATTTTGAGTTGCAAGTTGTGTGGTGCTGCATTGTGGGAACGGCTCGTACCAGGGTTTGTGAGGACAGGAAGAGGTTTGATGGCATAAAAAGATTAAACTGTGAGAGAGGGAGATTATGTTCGTCAGTCATAATTTGTTTTAGATGGATTTCTCTGCCACTAGAATGTTTACAGAGGGATACTGCCTTGTTAGATGGAGAGAATGAGGACACAAACGTGAAAAGACAGAGCTGGCTTGGCTTAAATGTTGAGGCAACAGGCTGGCGTGGTGTGAGAAGTGAAGTATCAGCTTGGGATGTCAGGAATGTGGGTTTACAATTTTGCTTTTTCGAGTTGCTGACATTTAGAAATGTGTTAATGTGCCATCCGGGAAATAATTCAGACATGTTAGTAGGAGGCTCCTGTTTGTTAATCTGAGCATCTACGAGCATTCGAGTCTGTGTGAGAAGAGCTTCCCCCAAAACTGACTCATGTACAGTATGCATTTATGTTTTTGTGTGTCTGTTTTTTTTTTTGTTTTTTTTTTTGAGTGTGTAACTTCAGTTCGTCCATATATCAGTGCAAAATCTCACTTCCCTGTATCAATTCAAAAAGGGTAGTACCAGTTGAAGCTCAACTCATCGCTTTATCCTGCCCACAGTTCTTTCCCTCCCTTCCCCTCCCATCATCCCTCCAACAGAGTGAAGAACTGAAGCGTTGTGAAAACAAATGGAGGTTTCCCCCTCCCTCACTCCTCCCCTCTATACATGTCCTCCATCCTTTCCTCCTCCTCCCGTTCCTTTCCTCCACCGCTCCATCCTCAATCTAGATGAAGTACTCTTTCTTGTCCTCTGCTCCGGAGTGGCCTCCTTCTGCGTTGATGATGGCCGTGTCGGCGTCGGGGGCGTCGTCCGAGCCCTTGGCCTCGTGGGTCAGATACGTTCCTGTGTAAGGAGAAATAGAAAAAGAGATACAGAGAGAGAGAGAGAGAAAGCGAGAGAGAGAAGGGGGATATGAAATAAGATTGTGGAGGCAGTAAAAGTCAAACACTGAAACTGTAAAACAACAAAAGGTCAGCAGGACAGAGACTTGAGAATGCAGTGGCAAGATGTTTCAAAATTGTGTCAAATGTGCTTTTGGTAATTTGTTTTTCATTACTATGTAGGAAAGTAGTCTTTAGGTTGTGGACAGCTAGGAGGTAAAGTCCTGGAAAAAGTCAGAAAAGTCAGTTCAAGCATTCATTTGGTCTGCAGGTCAAAGACTGACTTGCAGGTTAAAAACTGGTGTAAACTGAGTACAAAAGCATCTAGGACACATATAATTTCCCATAAGTTCCTGGGAATCAGCATCACAGAGAATCCGACATGGTCATCTCACATCTCCACGCTGGTGAAGAAAGCTCAGAAACGGAAGAAACTGGATTTCTTGAGGAAGCTTAAGAAGGCCAAATTCCCACGCCAAGATCTTTTACAGAGGAGCAATAGAAAGCATCCTGACTGGAAACATCACTAACTGGCATGGGATGTGCACCTTCAGGACCAGAGGGCTCTGCAGCGGGTGATTAAAACTGCTCAGAAGATCATTAGTACCCATTTCCCGAGCATCAGTGATATCGGTGAGGTGAGGTGCCTACGCAGAGCCCAAAGGATACTAAAGGACAGGACCCACCCAGCCACAGTCTGTTCACTCTGCTGCCTTCTGGGAAGAGAGATAGAAGTTTCAGCTGCCGTACCACCAGACTGCAGAACAGCTTTTCCCCCCAAGCTATCAGACTCTTAAGCTCAAATTCATCCTCAGCACTGCGCCACTGATTATATGTCTAGATGTCTTTTGACCTCCAAATCACTAAATAAATACTAACAGGGCTCCATCGAGCCTTTGTCATCCAAATAAAACCAAGTCCTGTTTTTGATAGGATTTTATTCTACAGTTGATTCTCCTGCTAAGAACCGGACGAGCAACTCCGCAGCACAACTTTATTTTTCAATGTTTATGTAATGAACATGCATTCTTGACCTTGGAAATAGCAGTTTAACAAAATAATCTAAACTCAAACTCTACATACAAGCTTTTTCTGGAGCTTTCAGCCACATGTCACTTTCTTTTTCACCCAATAGACTTAAATTAGTTGTCATGTAGTTGACTCAGTTGTCATCACATGACCTAGGTAGGGAACTTCTCTATAACAGGTGGTCGTATGCAATATGGGACAATGCTACAGCAGTGGGCAACACCACACTTATAGAATCATCTTGGACAAGAGACTGAATGAATGGCGGAAACAGACAACATCAGCTGTTTGATCACCAGACCAAAAACAGGTCACACCATAGCCCGAGAAGGGTTCAAAGTCACTCATGAAAAGTTAGAGGACAGCTGGAGAAAGATGAAGAAGAATGTGAGATCGGAAGCTCTGGATAGGGTTAGCAACTGGAACTTGAGTTAAAATAATTTTGTCAACCAACTTATAAAGTGTTTTACACTATGATAAAACCAAAGTGTAAATTTCTAGCCATTGTAATGTAAGTGCACATATTGCCAGTTGTTTCATCGGTTGCTTTTACGCTTCATTAGTGAGAACTATCTGCATTTACTCTCACATACTGGCAGAGAAATGACAGAGAATGATTGCAAATACTAGAATAATTGCTCACTCCTGACCTGCAGATTTGTACAGATGCAGTCACCAGACAGTGAGGAGCTTTACACTATCACCCCCAGATAGAACTCTTCTCTGCACAAGTGCCTTAACCAGCCAGAGAGAGTCACTATTGCACTCACAGACATGATCTCGCACAGACATCTGTGAACACTGGCCACCGAGTGATTGTGTTCAATATTCTGAACCAGCTGGACGCACTGGAGCCAGGAATTGAATCTGGCACACTAAGGTGGTGGTGGTGGTGTTTATCAACTGTGCCACCTGGGTGCTAACACAAGTATTTAGTATCCTTTAAATTTCACCTGTGCCCTGGTGGAGCTAAAATATTAGAATTTGCTTAATTCTTGTTTGTTTATCTGCTAAAAATGTTTTTTTGAGACCTGAATATGAGTGAAAACGAAGAAAAAGTAACACTTTCCTGTTCACATCATGTCACACATCATGGCCAGAAAGCAATTATGCTTCTGCCACCACACTTTAAATCCCATATTGGGCCACATAATTGAAAATATCACAGGAAGTTGAGTGAACTAAAATGTATTAAAAGGCAATGAATAAACATTCACTTATTGTCATTCATTAATTTTTTTATTCTGCTTTCAGAGTAAAATATGTGAGGTTTATGCTTAGAATCCATATTTATGAGTGCATTTGCATTTCTGTGTGTCCTTCCATTTGTATGCATATACATGTCCGTACGTGTGAGATCCTGGTCCCCAGCATGTCTCCATATTTATGCAAGTGTATCTCTGTATACACACTCATGCATGCATGCATAAGTGCGTCCGCGTGTGTTCATGTGTCTGTGTGTGTGAGCAGTTGACCTTTGTGTCTGATGAGGTATCTGCCGAGGACGATGAGAAGGCAGAGCAGGATGAAGACGATAACAGCCACCACCCCTCCAATCACGGCGTGGTCCACCCCCGAAGAGGTCGACATGGCTGTGGGGTCTTAAGAAGAGTGTGGAGAGGAGAGGAGAGGAAAGGAGAGGAGAAGAGAGGAGATAGGGAAGTCATGTAGTAAAGATAAGAATTTGGGAGTCACAATTTGAGAGAGGGAAGGGGAAAATGGATGAAAAAGAAAGGGACAAAGAGTGACAGAAAATGAGGTAGAGACAGTAAGAAATAATGGGAGAGAAGGGAAGAGGGAGATTAAGAGCAGAGAGGGAGGGAGGGATAGGGGGGGTGGATGAATATTGGTGGAAATGGGAGACGGATGATGAAAGGCAGCAGAAATAGAGAAAGAGAGAGAGAGAATAATGGGGAGAGTGACAGAGAGAAGGCAAAAAGAAAAGCAAAGAAAAGAAAAGAACAGGGGAGCGGAGAAGACTTGTCAATGTACAATACCCAGGCACAGTGGCAAACCTTCAGAAGACAAAGACAAGGATATGAAAAAAGCCAGGCAAAAAAGAAAAGGGGCCACCGCGTCACCCTCCATTAAAAATTGTTCGTGCCTAACATGCAACAGGATTGTGCAGTTTACCGACCAAGTTCCAATCACTTGTAAGAACCCTGTGGGAGGACACACTCCTGATATTGGGTGAAATACTTGCCCCTTCAGCTGTGCTGATTTCCATCTTTTCACTTAAATTTAGGATTTTATACTCTTCTATGGACTGAGACTTTCATTTTGTAGAATCCAAGGGTGGATTCCAATCCAGGTAACTGCACCAGGGCCCCAGACCCCCAAGGCCTCAAAAGGCCCAGATTCAGTTTTTGTGGTAATTTGATTAAATACAAATTTTAAGTTATCTTCTAATAGTTGTACTAGTTTAATCCAGTCATGGTATTTCATACACTTTAGTATACTTTTCATTTGTTTAAACTGAATAGACCTTTACTTAATTGAAACCAAGGAATATGTACTTAGTAATAAAAGCTGAGCATAAAATATGTTTAAATATACTTAACATATATTTATAACACTTTTTGAAAATGCATTTTAGCACATTCAAAAATTAATTCAAAAAAAGTTTCCTTTAATAAATATAGTCTAGTATAAACTCATGGGTTTTCAATTAATAGCAAGTTAATGTTATTAATTAATGTTGCTTTAAATATACTGTAAAAGCCATGAAATACACAAATTAAAAATGCATTTTAAAAAAACATTATTTTAGATTCACTTTAAACTAATACAAACTTACATTATCCATATAAGCATTATCTACTACATACTAGATACTGCTTACATATATAGTTTCTTTAGGTTTTAAAGTACAATATACTTTTATACTAGTACTTAAATATAGTTTGTATACTTAAAGTATGATTTCATTATGAAACAAAGAAAATAAAATTTCACTTGGGGAAGCTTCTGAATAAAAATTTATAATTCATGGCGGTCAAGTTAAAAACAAGACGTCTTTTCATTGGCTTTGAAAAGCTGTCAATTTTGAGATGCAACTTTTCACCCAACAGCAGAGATTTGAATTTTTCCTTCCCAGTTCCCCTCGCTTCAGCCACTTTAGCTACTTGCCCCTCAGAGAAGAAAGCAGTCGACGCGTAACTAATTTGATATATCATTTATTTCGCCTGACTTTTCAGACCAGATCAAACGCCGGGTGTCAATATGAAAGTCATTCAGATAGATAGAACTCAAAAGCGGCACTTCTCATGTCAAAATGCGTTTTAAAAAAAGACTAGAAAACAGATTAAAGTGGAATAAAAAGGAAAGGGCGGTGGAAGGAGAGGCTGGTTTGTACTTAGTGAATGTTTGAGGGGTCAGCCCAATGTGGAGGGCTTCAACCAGTCACAGGAAGATACAGGTAGCTTATAGATCCAATCAGAGAACAGGAATGAGAGATAGAGGCACAGCAACAGCCACTGATAACCAGAAACATAGACAAAATTGAAATTGAAGAGAGAAGAAAGGAACACATTACAACCAGCTGGGACACCAAATGATGGGTTGATTGAGCCAATTTTGGAAGAAAAAGTCACATTTCAGCCACTTAGAGAAGTGAAGGGGCATGACAACAGTTAACCAGAGGCCAGACGTAGAAACAGAACAAGGAGAAGAGGGGTGGTGGGGAGGGGAGGCTCTGAGCACCAGTCAGAATGACACACACGCACGGAAAGTCGAACACACACTCCGGCTGGCCAGCGTGGAGGTGAGAGGGGCATGCTGACGAGGCGAGACTGAGAATGAGCCTATAAATCCTGCTGTCAGCATCAAAGGAAAGCAGACAAGACCCAAGAACACCTCGAAGCCTGACCCTCCCCCCACCAGTACTCACACACACACACACACACACAGAACACACCCCTACACACACCCACAAACACACATAGAGGAAGTGGGACACCGTGTAAATGACTTGTACCACTTAAGGGGTCATGCTTGTGTGTGTGTGTGTGTGTCTATGTGAGACAGGTGTGAGCGCCCAGTGTGAAGGGTGCTGGTGTGGATGATTGCTGCATGTGTGAAAGTGTATGTGTGTGTGTGTGCGTGAGCTTGTGTTTTGAGCCTGTATGTGCATGCATGGGCAACAACAAAGCATTACGTGGGCAAGAGTATGAAATATTAATCTCTCCGCTTTCAAAGTTCAAAGTGTCCCCCAGACACAGGGGTAGTTTTCTTTTTTTTTTTTCTCCCCAGAGTGACAGACAGACAAAAAAAGACAGACCTACAGATGGACGAACAGACAGCCAGGTGCACAAAAAAGTTAGAACGACAGAAAGTCAGGCGACAGGTGGAAAACTTATACCTGCACTGTTGTCCCCAGCATCTCCTCAAGTGGATGAGTAGATGGATTGTTGGATGTTTAGATTGATGGATGAATGGATGGATGGATGGAGGCGTGGTTGGTTAGATGAGTGGAGCAGTGTGCATCGGGGGGGAAGTTTGGGGGTTAGGGATTATTAACAGGAAGAAAGAGGGGAAAAAAGAAAAAAAAACATCAAACAGCTGTGACACGGCCACACAAATGCCATTTTTTTCCTTCATTACGTGTTTAAGTCTGCTCTTGCTGTCAGCTTTGAGAATGTGTGTGTGTTTGCATGTATAACAAACTCCCAGTGTTTTTGCTCCACAATGCAAGCACAGTTTGTGTACTGAGGAAAAAAAAACAGCAAGGTAGTAACTTGAATGATGTTTGTTTTTCCACTCCATTACTAAGCTTCTCGCATCTCTCTTGTTTGTAGTGTGTGTGCAAGTGTGTAACTCAGATGGTTTTACCTGTGAAAGTGTAAACTCCATTCAGCCGGACGGAAACTGAGGGAGTAAGGGAGGAGGCGGGGGAGGAGTAGGATGGGGTGGCGGTGGGAGGAGCGATGCTTGCGGGGGAGGAGGGAGAGGAGTCGGGAGCGAATGGCAGGTCGGGGAAGAGGGCGTTGGAGAGGGTGGTGGTGGTGGGGAATTCGGAGATGGCGGTCGGCACGTCAACCACGGAGGTGGTGGGAGAAGAGGAGGGGTCGGGGAAGGAGGTGAGGTCAGAGGGAGAGGAGGAGGGGTAAGTGGGATCAGAGCGGGAGCCAGAGAGGACGTCAGGAGGAGAGGACGATGGGAGATAGGTTGAGGAGGCGGAGGAGGATGAGGAGGAGGAGTCAGTGGGATCAGAGCCGGAGCCGGAGCCAGAGAAGACGTCAGGAGGTGAGGATGATGGGAGATAGGAGGAGGACGAGGAGGAGGGGGGGAAAGGAGGGAAAGATGGATGGGTTGCAGAGCCAGGGGAGGAGGTGGTGGTGGTGGCGTCCAGGGAGTCTGGGTCCAGGAGATGTTGGGAGGAGGGGGAAGATGAGGCGCAGGAGGATTGGGAATGTGGAAGCAAAGCGCAAAAAATGGCCGTGGATCGAACAAACGGGACACATAAAAGCGAAGGGGAAAGAAGCGCAAGAACGAGCGAAAGCGTTTGGATGGTAAGCGGTGGTAGTCATGGTGGCGCGGTTGGATGAGAAAAGAAAAACAAAAAATAAAACACAAAAACAGGAGGAAAGAAACGAAAGAAAATCAGAAGAGAAAAAAGATGGAAGTACAAGCAAAAGCCACAACAAACGACAGAAATAAAAAAACGTGGTGAAGAAACGTAAAAGAAGAAGACATCCCAACTCTTTGTCTACATTTGTCCCCCTTTTTCCCCACCACACATCCCTCTTTCCTTTCTTCTTTTCACTTTCTCTTGTTACCTTGCACCAGGAGTGTGTATTCTCCCTGGCTCTGTCCAATGCCGTTGTCAGCGTGGCAAAGGTAGACACCGTTATCTGATTTGTTGAGCATCTCGAAGCGCAAGAAAGCACCGTCAACTTTGGCCAGTGGGGGGAGCTCTCCATCCTTCTTCTCCCACACGTAGGAGGTGGGCCTGAGACAGGAGAGAGGAAGAGAGAGACACAGAAAGAGAGAGTCCTGAGTTGAACTGTACATGCTCTGCAAAAAAAAGTAGAGTTAAATCAAACGAGGGGCCGAAGTGATGAGAGGAGAGGGGACCTGTGACAAGTGCTGCAGGAGAGAGAAAAAAAAGAAAAAATGATCAAGGGTGAAGTAGAGATGGAAAGGGAAAGGGGAGAGAAATGGTTGGAGGAGAGGTGAGACAGGGAGGAATGAAGATGGAAAAAGAAGAGATAAAAAAGCAGGAGAGGAGAGCCAGTGGGAAGAAATGACAGAAAGAGATGGATGTTACAGTGAGAAAATATAGAAGAGACTGAGGGAGAAGGAGAGAATAAAGGAGGGATGAGGGGTGAGAGTTCTTGCAGCAGGCGCTCAAAGTGAAAAAAAGGAACAGTGATGAAAATGATGGAAAGAAGGATGGCGTTAGGAGGAGTGCCGCAGCTTGAAGAAGAGAAGAGATTAAAAGAGACGGAGGGAGAAGAAGACGACAGAACAAAGATCAGCATTTCAAATCAGCCTGTGTTAAAAAAAAATCCATTCTGCATAACAGATTGTGTATGAGAGAGATAGCGAGACGCGCCTTGATAAAAGAATCAATTATGTAAATGTGCGAGTCCTTAAGCGATGTACAGTAATTACAATGACAGGGAGTCTGAATCGGGGACAGACCTGAGTGGGTTGGACTGATTAATCGCTCTTCGAAATGTGAAAAAACCCTCAGCGACACCTAAAGGTGAGATCCAAAAAATTCATGATAGAGACCAGGTGGCCATTTGTGGTAGTAATGTAACTGTTAAAGGCAGGAACAATGCGCCTCTTAGACCTCTTACTTCAAAATCTAGTTGGATGTTTCCAAGAGGCAACGCTGTTGTTGCTGCTGGGCAACGCTGACAGAAAGCCAGTGAGAAACATGATCTGTTCCCTTGACACCTGCTAAGCAAACACTTGGGAGACTGTGGAATTACTAAATTAAAACGACACATATTCAAAGTTTTGAATATGTGTCGTTTTAGGGATATAAAATCCTAACAATGCTAACCAAAAAAAGTACTGTACTGAAGCAAATACAAAATGAAGAGTCAACCATAAAATATTTAAAACAAGCGTGTCCTGACCATGTTTGGCTAGCGTCTGGTCACCTGCAATAAAATGCAATCAGCTGTTGTATTGCACCCCAATCCAACTTCTAGATAATATGCAATTAACTGAACAATTAACTTCACATTTACAGGCTGTAACTTGTGTCAGTCTGTTATACAGGAGGTCATTTAAGTGCAGAAAGCGGATTGGTCAGGCCATGCTGGTAATTCCCATCGTACAGGTCTAAACTCTGTGTTTTATTCTCGGCTATGAGCTCTGCTTAGGTGGAAACTTTTCAATTAGCATGCATGCATTAGTAAACACTGTACAAAAGTCATGCTACGCTTGAAGCCAATCTTTATTGCAATTATGGGTACTTTGGTGCTGCATATTCCTCCGTCTTGCATCTATAATCATTATCACGGTAAAGAATGAGCTATTGGGTGTTTTTGCTAAATTATTTATAGAAGCTTTCCTAGCTTTGCTTGTTATGTTAATGTACAAAATCTTTGTAATACAGCACTTATTTCTTATGTCTGTCATCTGATCAGTATTTTTACAGGGAGAGATTATTAAAGCCTGGTGTTATTTCATATTGTTCTCATTTCCAATAAAGACCAAAAAAAAAGACCAATCCACCAGTCCATCTCTCATTACTTCCTGACTTCCTACCCTGTCTGTGGCACTGGTTTCTACAGAAGATGGACATATTCAAAGCTGCTCTAATTACTATTTTTATATAATCAATGGATTAAATGACCAATCACATGACTCTGCAGCTATCCTCACTTGTACAGAGTTTTTTTCTCAGCTCATTGTTTTGGTTTTACAAACCACAGCTTAACTGTTTTGATTCAGTAATCAGCATAGTTTCAAGACTCATCAGGCAGCTGGTTTCAGCAAGAAATCTCTGATGAACCGGCTGTCACTCCCTGCTCGAATTTAACTGCTATAGAGCCATATGTTTCCCTCTGGATTTAGTGACCAAAACTAAGCTAAAAGGAGAGTGAATATTGGTCTTATACTGACACAACTGGAAATTAATGTTAATGTTGCACCGTGACTGCTAGATGTGTGATTTGCTTTATAAGCACAACTTTATAAGTTGATACAATGTTTTGTTTACCCCATATTGCACTGCACCTTAGAGGCCAAAAAAAACCCAGCAGGGCAGTAGCAAAGGTAGCTCAAACAGAAGCAAATAGATTTGTTGGGGACTATTTTAAGATGCGGATTAATACAGATTTGGTGATCTAGTGAGTATTTACAGCAGCAGGACTGATTATGTAGATTTGACTCAAAATAAACCAGAGCGCCCATCCTAACAAGGAACAGGTCACCTAGTGCAAAGATGTGGCTTGTTGATGAGTTTAGAGCAGAATAAACTATTTCAGGTTTTGGCTACAGAGACAACACTTGTGAGTAGGATCAATTCATGGATGTTTTTGGTCGTTTAATGGGATTTGTTAACAATAAAGAAGGAGAGAGAGAAATATCCTATAGAATATGGTTGGCCTTATCCTTTTTATAGCTTACAGATTAGAGTAATCCTGTTACATGTCACCAGCTGTTTTCTAACTGTGGCCATGACCTTGCACACATAAGGAAGCTTGCACGCGATAGATCAACGTTATGCAAGGCTTTTCAGCTGCAAATATGCTAAGTGAACGGTCTTAGGGAGTTTAACTTGGTTAAATGACATCAAGATCCGAAATGTGATGCAATTGCAAGCACTCCTGGGCCGGGCTGATCGAATAGATGTGAAATATAATAGAAAGTACAGCACAAATTCCTTTCTCTTCTATTAGAACACTCTTGCCGCCGGGGCGTCAAGGAAACACAGTATAGAATTTGATACGGTGAGTTATTCTTTTGAACCTGACAGGATGTGACCGCGGAAAGAGAAACGTGTGTATCGTGGAATGGAGTGTGACATTCATTGAGTTTGATTGGGGAGGGCAGCTCCTGAGGAGGAGAGGGACCCGAGTGGCTGGGTGTGTCGGAGGAAAGGCGTCTTCGCGGTGATTGGGTTTTGACTGACAGCTGCGGGGGCAACCTGTATCAGATTTTATTGGACACTAGCTCATCCACAAGCAGCGGTGCACGTAACTGAGCACGCTCCCCCTCTATCGCCCTCTCTTGCAGACACACACACACACACACACACACACACACACAGGCTTTCTATTGTTTGCTCTCCCTCTCTCTGTCTTAGTCATTCGCTTCTTGTCACCAAATCTTTCTGTCTCCTCTCCGCCCACGCTTTTCTCCGCTTCCCTCTCCTTCTCCCGTCGGTTTGTTTTCCTTCCCTCTCCACCTCTGCTTCCCTTGTCATTTTTTTGCCTCGATGTCACATTTTCTCTCTTCTCTTCTTCTATAGCCTCGCTTTTTTTTCCTTTTTTTTTTTTACATACAGCCTCTGCCACTCAGCATACGCTTTTATCTAAAGCCTTTCTGTGTATTAAGAGTTAAGTACATTTTTAGAATGGGTGATCCCAGTGGGATCTGAACCCTGAACCGGTGCACTGTCAGGGCCATTTTAAACTACACAGAACCATTTATTACCATAGAGAAAGTCTATTTCTTGTAAGGTACATGATTTAATGGACGCTTTCATCCACAGTGTCTAATTGTATCACAGATAAATAGATTTCCAGCATAGGTGGTCCCCGTGGGAACTGAACCCCTGTCCTTGGCACACGTGGCACGCCTTGCTTTTCTCCCGTCCATAATTTATCGACTCCCTTGCTGCCTGTAAAAGCACGTACATGTGATGACAGTCACCTCCCTCTACCCCGCCCCCTATCTGTTCCACCTGCCAATCAAACTAAACGACTAGTCTTATTCCTCGCCACTCCTGTGATGAGCTGACAGGGGGAGAGAGGGGAGGGGGGGAGGGATAGGAGCAGAGCAGGAGGAAGTGGAAGAGGAGGGGGGGTTTAGATGGAAAAGGTGTGAGGAGAGATAGAGGAGAGTTATAGGAAAGGACGGGGAGAGGAGGAGGGCAAGGAGGCGTCGTGACAAGACGGAGAGGAGCAAACGAGCCCTGAGTGACACGGCGGCGGAGAGATACCTGATGATGGAAGGATGGAGGGAGGCAGAGAGGGGAGCAGAGGGGGAGGAAAGTAGATCGATAGGGCTGGTTGGCTTGAGGTTCATCTATAATGCAGAAAGGCCAGGGGAAAGAGTGTACTTGTGTGGGCAGGATTTAAGACGGGGGGTTGTAGTTTGTTTGTGTGTTTGTAGTATCAGAAACATTGTGTTCACACTGCATCAGTGAACACGCACAAGCAGGTGTTTTTGCGTTAACTGCGCCCATGTGTATGTGTATGTACGTGTCGTGTTTGACTATCTGCACAAGGTGTCAGAAGTGAAACATGTTAAAGTGTGATGACTTACAAATGTGTATCTGTGTGTGTGTGTGCAGGTTATCAGTGCTGCTACTTGCACTTTGACACCTATTCAGGAACTAAATGTGGGTGTGTTTACACCGATTTAAAGTGCCTCTAAAATCTATTGAGACCTTCTACAATACTGGAGTGAAAGCTTTGATTAGAGCAAGGACAACCTGCCCTGTTCATTAGTCAATCATCAGTAAATGCTTTAGAAAGAGAAAAATAGGCCAGGTTGACCTGTTCGGTTATGCGCTCAGATTTGCTATACATAAGAATAATATTAAGTTCAAGTCATGGAGGTGAGAGATTACAATAGTACTGGCCAAGATGATATAATAAAAAGGCTACGAGTACTATATGAAAGTACATAAATCCTGAATTAACTGCCGAACATCCAAAACTGTCCTCACCAGAAACATGGCAGCATCAGTCAAATGTTCAAACAGTGTGTTTTCAATAAGTAGCGGAAGTATAGTGATGTTTTAAAATTTCAAACAGACTGACCTTGACAACGAAACACAATGGCGTCTAATGATCCGAGTCATATGAGTAATTTCTGAAGGCACTGACAGACACTTTTTGTAGTAAAGCTATGAGGATTTCTTGGTCCATCTGCCGTAAACACACAGTAAACCCTTTACTGAAGCTCATTTGAAAATGAAGCTTGCAAGGTTCCACCTGTCATCCACCTGATTTGGCACATGAAGCACTCCATGCTGGTGTATATGCCACATGTCATCTAACTAACGAGACTCTTGTAAAATGTGAGCTTTACTCAAATGATCTTAATTCCCTCCTTGTTTGCACAGACAAGAAAGCCTTGGTTATGTTGCAAACTGCCAGGAAATGTTAGAACATGAATTTTAATGATGTTTGGAAGTTGTGTTTGCTTTTTTATTTCATTATATGTATTTTACATTTTTATATAGAAGTCAATAAACTAACCTATAACTGTGTCTTAGTTCATGTGGTGATAATTAAGTTGGTAGGAGAACGTGTCTTTATATGGGCAGACATAGAGTGGAATGACACGTGTGAGTGCGTGCGTTTGCCTTACTCGGGGTTGCTGTTGCCTGAACACTGAAGATGAAACTTCTCTCCCTCTCTAGGCAGATCACTCTCAGGCTGGATCTGCACGTTAGGAGAATCTGTAAGTGGAAGACAAACACACACAAATACACACACACACACACACACACACACACAGTTACATAACAAAGGACTTATAACCGTACAGACATGCAAACAGCATGGATAGTCTCATTCATCCCCGCATCCATCTACTCCCATCTGCATCCTGTAGGCGTCACCATCTCTCTGCCTCCCAAAATGACATAACCCCTTTACACAACGACATCGCTTTCCCTCAGCGATGCAGTACTGCAGTCTCGCCCACAGGGGGCAGCACCAGCACAGACTCCGGCGACGTCGCTTATAGTTTCATTTCAGGTGATAACCTGCTCTTCTTATCCACAGTGACTCAACTCTGGTCAGGCGCACCAGCGGAGCAAGGTTAAATTCCTATGTGGCCATTATTACAGGTAACAATTATTGGAACAGAGATCAAACTGCAAAGGGGAGAAATGTGACTATACTGCCTAATAAAAGAGAAAAAAACAGAGCAGCTTCACTTTGCATTTCCCTCTCACATCTGTCTGTCCTCTACTCCCTCTCTCTTCCCAAAGCATCCTCCGTATTCCCACTCCACCCCATTCCCCAGTTGACTCACACAACACCCGCAGAGCCTGCTCGCTCCTCTTGTCCCCCGGGGCGAGAGAGGGATGGTCGACGGCGCAGGTGATGAGGGCGTTGTCATCACTGCGGCTCACCTCCAGGGTGAGCTCGCTGCTCACGTTGTATGTGGGATCGTCTGGAACGGACTCCACCACGTCTGGACGTCCTGAGGTGAAGAGGGACAGGAAGGGGAGGGGACAGTCAGGAGGAATGCGTCTGCATTTTAACCAGGGACCAGTACAACAGAGGTCCAACACAGATACAAAAATACACAACCCAAATGAACTACGGCCACAGAGAAAGGTCCTTTTACTGTAATTAGGATGTGGTGGTTTCATGTTGAGGAACTGCAATGACCCCTATTTGTTCCCATTAAATGAAAAATGCTTATCCTGTGCAGTTACCTTGTTCCCCTGGGTGTTTTGTTCTGCTATCTATCACTACATGCCACATACACTGTATGTCTAACAATGCATTTCTCCACATTTTAGGGCAATATCACACCTTTTCTCTCCCTCAAAGGATTTTTCTGCTGACTCATTCGGTGATGTATACAAATGTTTTATCCAGTAAAATGTAATCACAGATTTTAGGACGACCCTAAAACTTTCCACTGTGTAAAACCTGCAGGTCTATCCTCGTCCTCAAGCTAAGGGGAACTACCGGCAGTAACGTGGGTCTGAGGTCTGCCAAAAACGTGGTGAAACGATTAGTCAGTTAATCAACAACAATATTTATAATTCATATAAGTCATTAATCAAGCTAAACTGCACACTAAACAGTCACTGTTTACAGCTTTTCAAATGCGAGGATTTGCTACATGTCCCTGTTTTATACCACTGTACTTTATATATTTAATATCTGTCTAATATCTTGGGGGATTGGACTGTCAGAAAAAATAAGTAATGGAAAATTATGATGAGCATTCTCCTTCTGCTTTCTGACATTTTATAGACCAAGCTATTAATCTATTAAACAAAAAGCTGGTATTCTGATGAATTCATGATGAAAATAACTGTTAGTTGCAGCCCTAAATTTGTTGCATTTTCCAAAGACCTGTGATTGGGTCGAATTGACATGACTTTACTCACTTCTAAAAAAGTATAAATAACAACTCCAGACTGTGTCAGTCTTACATCCTGCCTGCACGAGGAAACAAGTAAAGAAAGTAAAAAATTCAGTTCCCTTTGGTACCCAGTAAAATAACATCAGTAAACTGCACGCTCATGTTTACTAACCAGCACAGCCTGTGATGTTTCATGCTGAAGGACACCAAAGGGACGAGAGAGGCTAAAGATCTAATGTTGCTCAGTCCAGCTTTCTTTGGACTCACTTGCTCGCTGTTGCTTAGGAGACCACTTGCATTTCACATGATGTAATCCATCATTGAGGACGGAGCGGCAACTATACCCAACAACAGAGCTTTATTTTGGCAAATAAAGACTATCATAGCATCTTAACTGCAATCTGTTGCAGCCATATTTTCTTATTTAGAGTGATAAAACAGCTCTGTTTTTCTGGTTTAAATGCACAGATTTTCATATAGACACTTTTCCATTTGCTGCTGCTGCTGTTTCTTTCTTCCCTGCATTTTACATTTCTGACAGGAGTCTGTGCTGATTTAAAAGAGGAAGAAGAACTGAGCAGGTGCAAGTGGGTCTGAGCAGCAGAAGACAAAGAAATATGAAAGCATAAACACAGTAGAGATCGTCATCCGGAGATCGCACTCTATTGTAAGAAAAAAATATCAAACCGGGTGGTCAGACCGTGAAAGTGGTTGGTGAATCTTGGAAAGTGGACCGGAACCTTATCACTTTCTCCTGCGTGGACTGACACACACACACACACACACACACACGGGCACATGTAGGTCAAGCTCATGAATAACATATACACAGTGAGGAGACAGAGATAGTGGCAGGGGAGCAGATTGCAAAACACACACTTGCACACACACTTTGCTCTGTCTCACTCTTTCTCTCTCTCACACACAGATATTAAAGACCCCTCCTCCCCCTCCTCCCCCTCTTCCCCCTCCTCCCCCTCCTCCAGAGAACTCTTCAAATACCACTGAATCTAATGACATCTCTCTTTTTATTACCATAACCAGTCCTCTGACCCGCAGAGAAAATTAGTTTACTTTCCAGGTGCATTTCAATAATCCTACGCCACTCAGAGGAGTCTTTTCGTCACTATCTGTGTCTCTCCCTCTCTCTCCCTCTCCCTAGGCACACACAAACGCAGACAGTATATAGCCTTTATTAAAGACCATGGGTCTGCAAAACTAGACCTGGGAATGAAGAAATGTTTCTGTTTGTTTACTCACTGACTCTTGTGTACAGTATTTTCCGAATCCTACAATTGAGTTCTAATACGTTTTTCAGGCCCAAGGGGTCATGTGACTGACTCAACACATTCATTAAGGAAAAGATAAGATGCAGTCAGTTTAAGCGTTTTTTCCCCCCAAGACAGCAGTGATGCACATTTCCTCATAATTCACATTTCCTCAGTTCATTATTAGATAATCAGGGTAAATTTGCATGTCAGCTGCTGCAAGCGGAGCAACAAGCAAATTGGACTGGGAAGCAATAACAGGTTGTGTTTCACTGGGTTACACAAAAAACAGATTCTATCTCTTAAAGGGTCAGTTCCCCCAATTTACAATTTTGTCTAGGTTTTGAGAGCTTTTATATTCCAGTCTCCACCCAGATACAATAGAGTGGAATGAAATTTTGATTGTGGCAGATAGCATCGGTAAGTGAATTTGAAAAAAATCAACAGTAACAACTCTCTCCAGTAACAGGGTCCTATTATAAAGTGTATGCTACATATATATATATTCTGTTAGAAAGTAATTCCAGTAAAAACTGAGATTATACTAACTGAACACATTATAAAGCACAAGGAAAGTAGGATTTTAAAAGTAATTTAAAAAATGAGACAGAGTTTGCAGCCCTCATCTCCTCCGGCGGGTCATTCCAAAGTCAAGGCACCCTAACTGCAAAAGCTCTATCACCTTTGAGTATAAATCTGGACGCTTACTGTTTTGTTTCACTCTTACAGCTCTCACAGCATTATTTCCATCTGCCGCAGAAAGCTGTTTTCAGCACTGATAAACTCACTGTACACTACCTGTTCAACAGACACAGTCAGTGACCAGCTGGTGAACACCGGAGCGTTTAGCAGCGTATGAGCCAGATATTTACCAAAGGATTTAAAACTCTGGACTGAAATGTTTATATTTACATACATTTAGGTCATGTAGCAGATGCTTCCAAAGCGACATACAATAAATACATTTGTCAGAAGAAAGTGAAAAAGCAATAAATCGCTGAAAGGATGTCAGGAGTTAGACCAGTGTGTAAGAGAGTGATAACTGGACTTCAAGTTGCCACAAACATGACTCTAAATGAATGATAATGTCTCTCCGTATCACCTGGATATGCATACAAACAGATGTTTGCTACTGCACCATGTTCGCCATATCAAATTTACAAGGTGATCATATGTCAATGTTTGTTGCCGCTTGTTTCAGCTGAGTCTCTACATATACCAGCGGACTGCAGAACAGCCCAGGCAACAGAAAAAATGATAAAGATCTGTGGTGATGGTGTGGAGGTAAAAATAAATGTGTGAAAAATGACAGTTCTTCAGTGTTAAATATATTTAAAACTGTGTTTCACAGTAGCAAGCACCCATCAGCATAAATTCATGTATATTTGCAGAAAAGGATAGCTTGCCTCTTTTTGAGAGCTTACATCTGGTAAAAGCAACTGTCTGTTTTTAATAATGTATTAGAGAGAAGGCCACACATTGCTACAGATGCTTCCACGCGTGTTTATCTAAACACAGTGCTTCACTCTACATCCTCAAGTCATCATTTTTGCTTAATTTATATTCTCAATATATGATATCATTGCCTTATCACATGATTCATTACTATTAAAACGGCTCAAAGTTTACAAAGGGTTCCCAAAAAATACCAAATCATTACAAAAACATATCATATCATCAAAGTTATTTTTTTAATGACTGATAAATCATTAAAAATAAATATCAATATTCAATTAGTGGAAGTGTGTGCGGCAATCTTCCTCTTTAATATTTAAACTCAACTATACTCCAGCATCTGCTAAAAAATTTAATGGGAGGCCCATACTTTCTTTTTATTAAAACTCCTATTTCTCGAATAAAGAAGGTGGGCAATTGGCACATCCTTGAGACAAACTTCCCCCAAGGTGGTGATGAGATGTGTATGAGGTGTCGGTGCTGCTGATGCTTCAACCTTCAAGCACACAGTGCACTGTAAAATGATCATATTAGGAGAATCAAACAACTGGATGCAGCGATTACTGCATGCGTTTGGGCCTTTAAGGCTGGAGAAGTGTGCTTGTGACCGTAGGTTCTGGATTAGAGCTGAAACAATGAGCCAATTAATCGATTAGTGGATGGAACCAAAATCATTTAGTCTAATGAGATGTAAAATGTTTGTTTTTATAATCAAAGAAATTAATTTGCCAGTGGGATGAGATAGCTTCATGTGTTGTTAATGCAGATTCAACTGGGTTGCACCTTGTGAGACATGACAAAAGGAAAGTAGCTTATAATGAATGACTTTTTTTGTAGCACACTTATCAAAACAAAGTGCTTCACAGTGAGAGAAATCAAATAAATTAAATACCAAATTGAATTATAAAATACATAAAGGGCAAAATGAAAAATTAAAGTTAATAAACAAGATATTAAAAACCAATAAACACAACATGCAGCTCAGATGAAATCAGGATATGATCTCCAATAAAGCAGAGCTTTGGGGCCCTGATGACAAAGGCTCTGTCCCCTTTAGTTTTCAGCCTGGACAGGGGAAGAGACAGAAGAGCCCTGACCAAGGATTTCGAACTATGCCAAGGCTCAAAAGGGATTAAAGGGTCTAAAATGTAATCTGGAGCCAGGTCATGAAGAACCTTAAATCTAATCTATCCTAAAACAAACAGGTAGCCAATGTAAAGAGGCTACAATAGTTGTGATGTGATCCTACCATTTGGAGACTAGACTGTGTATAATGGATGACATGACAGCTCCCCATAAGTGAAACCAAAACATCTCGATGGTATACTGCAGCCCCCTGGTAGCTGGCTGCAGTATATGTCATGTAGCAGAGGGGAC